TTCATTAAATACACCCATTCATTACATCACATTATATTTGGCTGTGAATGTAGATGTTTGGGATATTTGGGGCTTTTATTACTCATCTATACTTTTTACTTTGGTAAATACAACAGAAGACATGACCTTTCCAGCCATGTTTATAGCTCCAAACTTGAAGATAACTGTGCAATGCGTCAGCCACAACAAAGGCATCACAATACACTTTCTAGACCACCAAGGCATTACCTGGTAAAGCTCCTGCGCAACACCACATTTCCAGCCATCTCCTGGGCTCAGTCCTCTCTTCCCAGTGAGTACAGTCCTTGGCCATCTCCCCCACTGGTGTGTCCCCACAACCCAGCTGGTTTCTTCCAGCAAAGACCTTCTCACCAGCCTGGTCCTGGTCAGGATCCCCAGGCACAAAACCTGCCTCTGCATGGGCCTGTCTCACTGCTTGGGACTGCAGCTCCCAGGCATCTGGTCTTGGAGGACCAGTACTGCTTCAGTGGGGTGCAGGCTTGGAGCTGTCACTGTTTGCATCGATTCTCCAGCAGTGTTGGTTAAAAAAGGAGTTCCTTTTTCCTCACTTAAATTAGTATGCTCACTAAATTCTTTATCTTCTTTTAGTGCTGATAGCAAAGAAATCATCAAAAATGCTGAAGGTTCTTTATTGAACAGCACAACTGAAGTGGCAGTGATGGAAAGCTGCCTTGCATAGACCAGAAGGTATTTGATTTTAATCAGTCAGGAAGGAAAGAGTAAAACAAATGAATATACTCTGATCTTCAGGAAGAGGTTCTCCAGGGAAAGGGGAGAGTGTTCTGCTTCTCTGGGGTTAAAAGCCTCATAGTGCCTTTTTTGATCCCTGATTTTTTAGCATTTTCCTTCCTTCCACACAGAAGAATAAAGCTATGCTGCTGCAGCTTTGAATTCCCTGAAGGTGTTGCTGTTCAATTCAATGCAGGCTTTGGTAGTCACTTGGGTTCCATGAGGGACAAAGCCAGCACTGAAAGCTCTGCTGTCCTGGCACCACTACCACACAAATACCACAAACAGACGACTGGGCAGAACAAGCAAACAAAACTAATCCCCTTCCTGCCCACAGGAAGATGGATGTGGGTCCATAGAGGAAGAGCTGGAGTGTCTTCAGCAGCAGCCAAGCAGAGCCTGCTGTGCAGTGAGGTGCCAGCAACCTGCCAGGGCTGAGCACCACCTGCTCCCTGGGGCGTGGTGGTGCAGGAGGCACCATGAGCTACCATACCACCAAACTGTACCAGGCAAATTTCTTACAGATTAAGTGACCTTAGAGCTGACAAGAACTTCAGGAAGTAACTTGTGAGGTTCTTATTACTGTCTGTGCTCCAGCACTACCAGGCTAAACTCTAGAGAGTCCCTGACAAGTTATTTATTCCCTCTAGGTGCATATATTTGGGCTTGAGCCATTTGCATTAGCATTTGTGATGATGCATTACAGGCTTCACTGATTAACACTAATTTGCCTCTGATGTACTCTCTCAGCCTCTGAAGTTCACTGTAAGGAACTAAATGTAGATAATTTTTGCAAGGCGTTCTTTTGCAAGGAAACCCACTGCTTTCCTCTGCACTGTACTCACATCTAATCCTGGGGCTGCAATGCACAGTCCTGGAGAAGGGTATTGGCTCAAATTCTTTATTTCCTGTGTGGTTTAAATAATTCATACCAGGATCAACACAAGGTGTTTGTGCTTTGTGTTCTACAAGGTTAACATGTATATGAGCAAAGGGTCCTCTCTGAACTGCTCATTAGTAGTTGATTATTTCTTTCTTATTACAGCTTTGGCTGCTTTCATGATCCAGGTATTATAATACTTTCATATGTTTTAAACCCCATTCCTAGGATGATAAATTGATCAAGTCTTGTTTTCTCTCTGTTCCTTTCAGGAATCTTTCCTTTTGATTTGATACTGCTCACTTTTTATTTTTTATTGAGAGATTCAGATGCAATGATAATTGGAGAGTTAAAATGAGACTTGGGCACTCATTTCTGAGCTGTCAGCCCTGAACCTGTTGCATGATGTTGGGAAAACCTTTGGGAACATGCTGCTAACTTTTCATGAAACGACAGGTTTGAAGGAATCTTTGTGAATAATTGGAATTTGATTTCATGACACTTTGATACTGAGCTGACAGGTGGTGGTTGCTATTTTAGATTTCAGAGTGCCATCACAGTAGAGGAAATCTCAAGAGTTCCAGCAAAGTAAAGGCTCTACTTTTGTTCCATTCCTCCCAGATTTTCTTGGAAGTCATAGGTTTAGATCAGACCACTCCATAACATAACTGTGGAAAAGCAAGGCAGTAAAATTTGCCACAGGCTAACTATTTCTTGAGTGAAGCTGAGTGTAAATCTGGCAGGAAAGCAAAGTTAGATAACAATAATCTAATTTAGAATCCAAAAATGTATATTAATTCATTCCTGGTTTGGCATGAACTTGAGTCCAGTTTCAAAAGGTTCCTGCTGCTGGAGTTTCTAGTTGACTGCTAATGTTGAAATGTACCCAGTGTGCTTCCTTGGTCTTATGGCTGTGGTCCAGCCAACCAGCTGGAACCTAATTGCTCTTTTCTCCCAGTTTCCCTTGTGACGCTGCTAATGGTGAATATCTCATTTAAACCTCATTGCAGCAAAGTGACTCAAACATCACCAGTACAATCCTGCTCCTGGATACACTTTAAATAAAATCAGCAAGGCTCTCCAGATATTACCTCATATTTCTCTGGGATTCCAAAGCCAGAGCCTTAAAATAATGAAAGGAAAAATAATGAGAGTAGAACCAACTTCCTGTCTGGAAAGAATAAATCCCTGCCTGTGCCTCTTTCTTGAGACTGACTCAGGACTCAGGTCTAAAGAGCAAAGCCTCTGAGGGTGTTCACAGGAGAGACTCGAGCAGCTCCCAATTACATGTGCAAGAAGTGGGTGGTGGCTTCACCAGGAACTTGTAACTGAAACGTCTGCCCATGGGGCTGGAGCAATTTCCCATCTCAGTCTCACTTTCTAATGCAGAAATCCAGGCAGAGAGCCTAGTGCTTCAGTGCTTTTTGTTGTGATTTGAACATTGCTGAGTTGAGTGTCTCAACATATGAGTTGGTGTCTCATACCTTGGGAAAAGAACTCTTCCCTTTCCTGTCTCCTCACAGCAGTCAGTGCTCAGCAGCTCTCCGGCTCTGGCTGGGTCAGGAAAGGTGCTCCTTCAGGCTCTGTGTCCCCTCTGCTTTAGCTCCTTGCCTTGCTTCTGAGGAGATGCTGTTTTCTCATTCATCCTCAGTTGAGAAAAATATATTTCATCTGTTGTTTTTACCCTTTCCGTTCCCAAACACAGCAGTGGGTGTTTACATGGATTACTGTATTATACTATATCTGCAGTAATTTCTAGATCTGAAGTAGACTACTAGCTTCACTCCTCAGAAAGCTTTCAGGTTCTCAGCTCTTATTCTCCCCACCTAAAAGATTCCCATTCCTCTGCACCAGTTTGCCATGCTGTACAAAACATCCTGCTTTCCTGTTTCAAAGCTGTGGTTGCCTTGTTGTTTCTGTGTAAATCGCATAATTTCTCCCTGACTCTGTAACACCTTCTTGCCATGTGTTGTTGGACTGTGCCCTCTTGACTGTGGTCTGTTTATGGAGGGGTTTGGCATAGTGGGATCTGTTCCCATTGCTGGGGTGGACTTCCCTGGCTGGATCTAGGTATTAAAACCTGGGAGCATGGGAAGGAACTGGCCTGCTCCTATGAACTGCAAGAATATTTCCTGAGTGTGAGCCCTCCTTGCAGTCATCCATTGTCTTTTTCTTTTTTTCAGCTGTAGAAAATACTTTGAGCTAGATATTATTATACATTCAAAATCCAGAGGTCTAGTTCATGCAAAATTTGGCTCAATTGCATTGACTGCTAGGCTGTGGGAGAGGTAAGGACAGTCTTAAGGGAGAGCCTGGAAATCAAGCCAGTCATTTCTGTTGCTCAGATCCAAAGCAGACACTGTACAGAGCTGCTGCGACCTTTCTGCTGAGAAGTCACTGCTCTGCAGAGCTCTACAGGGCTGAGCAGTCATTACTCCTCCCTGTGGAACTGAACCAAACCAAGCCTGCAGCTAATACACAGCAGAGAATTTATTGACTGTCTCTGGAATTAGGCAATTCTGTTAATTGTCTTCATCTTCCAGGACTCTGTCATTCTTTTCCTGAGCCATTAGTGGCACAGCTATTTGTGTGCCAGCATGAGCTGCCTGGAAAAAAAAGCTAAAATTGAACAGCAAATGAATCAAAGACAAGGACAGATACCTCTGAAAGATAATTGCATTCAGATATCCTGGGGAGCCCTTACAAATCCCTTTTCAGCTTCCACAGCTCTTTTCCCCCATTGTGGCTTTGGTTTGAGAAACCCCTATTAAGGAACAAGACTAATCAATGCCAGCAATGAGTCAAAAGGACTTCTTTCCTTTTTCATGATTTACCTCCCCAGTGTTCTCTAGCCACACCAAACTCCCAAGCAAGGATGTTTTTGCTTTTTTTAATTATTATTTCTAAGTGTCAAAATGATTGGTGTGACTCTGCCTTTCCCATCTACAAAGTGCATTAAAGAGCACTTAGGACATTGGTGAGACATCAAGAAGGAAATGGAATAGCTTGTTCTTTTATTCTGTTTTTGTTTTGTTTTTCCTTTTCTTCACTGCCTGGATGCTAATCCTTGTACCATTTCCCATAATGGATATGTAGTCTGAATTTGGGCATGTTTGAAGTAAATGCAATAGGAGTCAATAACTGTGAGTTGTTGTCTACATAGAGTTCCTAGACAAGAAAATAATCCAAGAATTTTAATACACCAAACTCATGCCACTCAGTATACACATTATGTCCTATTTACATGTCATTTATCCATACTCACTTCAAGTCTGTGGTATCACAAATGCATTCAAAAACTGTCTCTCTCCTTCAAAATCCTTTTAATCAGAAAACAACCCAGTAACTTCCATAAATAGGTTTTATTGTATCTTTTATGTGAGATGATTCTAGCACAGCTGTAATCCTGCAAAAATACAGTGCTAGAGTATAGTACACATTTTGAAAATAAACCTGATCTTTGGGGGTGAATAGTCCTCTGGCAGTTTGGGGATACCATCCAGCATTTTCAGATTTGGCAAACTGGAGAATACACTTCAAGAGAGACAAAAGAAAAAAAGACACACAGATAAATGATTTTGGCGAAAGCTGAGAACAAAATAGACACTGATAAAAAACCAAAAGTGGATTCAAGCATATCCAAAATACCTCTGAATTTCTGGAAATCTTGATTTGTCCTTTGTTGCAGAATTTATCTGATAAAGAACTAATGAAAAAATTCAGGTTTCACTCTGTTGCACAAGATTTCCATCCTGAGACTCACTAAAGCACTGCAAGTATCTACATTTTTAATAGACTAGAACTAAACCAGTTGTGTAATGCAAAAGAGAGGACACAGTGTTTGCCTAGGCTGAGTTTCCTGAACTGTTGAAAAGCAAAGACAGACTGCAAGAGGTGCAACTCAACTTTTATCCCTCTGTGACAGAGAAACCAGGCTCTCTGCAAACCTCTTAGCACTTCTGCTTCTCCCAAGAAAAAGAAGTCCCTGTTTGGTGGGCATGATACCAAACCAAAATGAGTGGCTCTACTTCCTACTCTGCTGTCCCCATCAGTATCTCCAACCTCAGCCATGGAGATTGCTCTTTCTTTCTTCAGAAGAGTTTGAAGGAGCCTCAGCCCCTCCATAAGCACCAGGCAGGGTGTTAACCACAGGCACTGGGATTTGCTCCTGTGCCTTTGCACGTGCTCAGCCTCAGCACGGTACTCAGAGCTTTAACTGTGCTTGAAAATTATTCTTTCTGTCTTTTGGCTGCCAGAGAAAGCAATACCAAAGTAATACCAATATTTAATTGTCCTAAGAATTGGTAGGATTGGGAGCAGAAGCATAATTAGTAATTGTTAAAAAATTGTTTTTCAGCTTTTGTTCTCCTAGACCTGATATGCAATTAAAACGTGAAATCCATCATTTTAAATGTATTTTTTAACTCTCACTTTGTTATCTGCCTGTCTGCCTTCAGAAATCCTAGCATCACCATCACACTGGCAAAGGGATGCCTGCTAGGCTGAAGGAAAAAGCATACTGGAAAGTAAGAAAGGTTTTCATTAAACACTTTATTTTAGAAACATCTCCTTATTTTTTTCCTCCCAAGAAGAGATGACTTGTTAGACACATGCTGTAAGGTTGATCTCAAAATATCAACAATGCCTTCTGTAGGTGGCTGACATGGCTGTGTTTGCAGTGGGGAACAAGAAACAGTGCTCCAGGTTTCTAAGAGTTCAGAAGGAACACATTTAATTCCCCTTTCTGACCTGTGTGTAATTTTTTTTCCTGGCAACAGGGTTTTGGAGTTTAACCAACTAGGGAAGAAGAAATAGTGGTGTGAGACTTAGACCAAATTATCTTCCCCTGAATTCTCTACTCTGTCACAGATCTGAATTTGCATTTCCAGTGTGGGACATAGCTCTGTTAAGTCACACTGCATCCACCTACACTGCATGGGGTGTTCAGGGCAGAGCAGCTTCTACAGTGCTTCCATGGAGGCAGGACAGAATCCAGAAAAATCCAATGAAGGTAACTTAGTTTTCTCTTGCTTTAGCTCCAATCTATCCACACATCCTTCTGATTCCATCTCTGACATGTAATGCAATTTAGTCTCTGTTCAGAGTACATGAGGGATGCAATGAGACTGGAGAGAGTTTGAGTAATAGGTAGTTTCTATTAATAAAAGGGAATCTAATTTATCTGCTCTGTTGATTCTTTCTAAACTTGATCTTGAACTTGAACTTAGTTCAGCTCAAGAACTGCCAGTCATGTGATTAAAAAGCCTTGTAGGCAGTTTCTGAATATTTTGTGGCAATTATCAGGTACTGGCTCACCAGCCCATGCTCCTGGAGCATTTATGGTAGTGGAGACTATGGGAAAACAAAATGATTGCTTGGGAGAGCCTGTTGTATTAGAGATCCTATTCCTTTTCAACTCTCTTACAAACATTTTCGGTGTTGATCAACTTTTTATTGGCCATGAGATGGTAAGACTTACAGTTGTCTGTATCTTTCTTGAAACTCACAGGGATTCCTCTTGAGTATAAGAGATTCAAGTGGAGTATGTCTGAAGTCTGATATTCCACTCAGTGTCATAATGTTATTTTCAGCAAGTGATAAGTGCTGAATCTGAGGTATCTTTGGCAGATGCTTGAAGGATGTGAAGTGGTTTTTATTGACATTTAGTTCTCTGCATCTGTAAAATACAAAGCATATGACAACACTGCTCACATCCAGACTAGCATAGACCCATAAATCAAGACAGGGATGGCTCTTCATGCAGTCAAAATCATGGCAAGTTAGGGCTCCCAATGAAAGAGACAAGAATGTGATTTCTCAGACCTGCTTGCACACTAGTTTTAAGTTTGTGCTATTTTTGCTTACCCAGGGACTTGCAAGATCAGATCCCTACACTTTATACTCTCATCTTTCTTTATATTGTACAATGAATACATCATTGTTGCTGTTCTCAACATGACATTTTTCTGTACAACTAATACAGCAATAAAGTAGCAATAGATGGACTGTAAAAACATAGTTGGTCCCATTTGGCCTCTCTGCTTGGATTATGTTCCACCACCTGTTCAAATAGATTCCTTCAGTGCTCCACAACTTTCCCTTTTGGCACAGATGTCACTGAACTTGACAAGACTTATTAATTATTTAGGAATAATGGGGACATGGTCTGATCTCCTGGCTGAATATTTCAATCTGGGGGTGGCATGAACTCAGAATAGCCATATATTGATGGATTCTCAATATAATGCCCCCCCAAATATACTATTTTGACAGTTCTCAATAGTCTGGTCCAGCTATTACCTAAGTAAATAATTTTATTTCTATGATACTGTATAAAAATAAGAACAGGACTTTTTGTCTACCTTGGCAACCTTATGGCACTTAAGTCTGTCAAAGAATTGTCCACCAACCAAAGTTTTTCCACCCGAATTAATCGTTTGAGAATCCTTTTGAAGTTTTCCACCTGGTAAAGATCACCCAGGTCCTGAAATGAAAGGTTCAGCTCCTGAGAAGGGAAAAATATGAGAAATGACTTATTTATTTTTTTTCTTCTTGCTTTCTCATACCTATATCATTAAGTCTTTTCAGTGTCACAATTAGTTAAAAGTTGAATTTACTCTATTATGCTGCTTTTATGGTGCCTATTGACAAATTCAGCTTAGAATCACAGTGAATTCAGTAATTCTTTGGAAGTAGAGAAAGAAAATCCCTCTTAAGCATGTGAATCTTACTGTCCAGCCCCTCCCAGGTGTCAATATTCCCCAGTCTGTATCATATGTTGATGCACAGGGAGAGGTGTGATCCAGAGTCCTGGATCTCAGTGTTAGATTAAGTTACTACTTGGCTTCCCCCTTGATCTTAGGGGGGTCATAACTTCCTGCT